TTTCCAAAGATGCAAATAATTTTCTATTCATACTACGAATTACAACTTTAACAACTGTATCTTAGATTTCACACACAAATAATAGTTAAACAGACAAAACACTTCTCTTCAGAATCCTTCATAATATTATGGGTCTTAAATATTTATTCATAACAAGAGAAGTTACATTAACATGACTGGTTTAAGATTTACATGAGAAGCATTATTCGCAGACGAATAGTGGAAATGTCCTCTAAAAATCTCTACAAGCGATTACAATTTCCATATACCTTCAAGCAATAGAAGTGATGTCAGACATTGTATGCGACGTTAACAACACGACGAGGACAGTTCGGATATAAAACCTTACAATAATCCAGTAACTATACTTGAATATCTAAGAAATTAAGTGGATCTGTGCTCCAGCTGGGGCTTACTGTGCATCAGTCACTCTGAAATATGAATTTCCAATATCACGGGCTGCATAAACAGAGGATATAGAACGAAGAAAACGCTTAAGACCCCACGGAAATGTTGCAAGTTTTATAGGGATGAAATCAATAGATGCTTGAGATACAAAATAAAGTGAAATAAAATTTGTTCTTGGTGTAGAAAATAGAATTCAGGACCTTTCTTTCATCTAAGTGGAAAATTTACGGCATATGTACAAAGCTGAAATATTCCATACTTATTTCTCGGGGAGAAAATATAACATCAATTTCATTTCAGTGAAACTCACTCAAGCTTCACGTAAACAAGACTAATTCCTCATTTTTCCAGTCTGTTCGCTAATACTGAGATTGCGTCCTGTTCCATTGGTTTCTAACCAAACATATTTCCCTCTACATCACCAACAAACATACTATTTGCCACTGCAGAACTAGTATGTCATTATACGCCCACCTGAAATATATTCCTATTCTCAGCATCATTATGAAAGAGTATCAATATGTACAATGGAATTCAAAGGCACGGAATTCAGTTATTTTTTGAATGGAATATCCGTGATTCCAGGGTGAAGAACAGCCCTAAATAAGGGTCTCATTATGGCGTGCTGTACGGGGAGGGGTAGGTCTAAGCGGTAGCGTAGTTGGTTGAGAGACTATGCTACAAACCGGAAGGTCGCGGATTCGAGTCCCGATGAGGTGGATTGTTACAATTGTCCTAAACATTCCAGCCGCAATATGGCCCTGGGGTCGACTCGGCCTCTAACAGAAATGAGTAGCTAAAATTTTTCCGGGGGATAAAGGGCGGCCGGCGCGTAAGGCTGACAATCTTACTGCTATCTGTGACCCGACTGTCTAGAAGATCTGGGAGGGTCAAGCTCTCATAACCCTATGGGTCTCCACGGCCTGTACAGGGATGAAATAACTTTACTGTACAAGACCTCGGTCAATGGAACGTGCATGGACGTGAAGGAGAAATTGTAGATGGATTATACAGTTAAATAAAATGAACTACTTTTCACGTAAGTAACATTTGAGAAAGCAGTCTTCTGGAATGTGGCGCAGTGTATATATATATATATTGTGTTAATCGACGTTTCGGAGGAACGTATCGCATCCATCTTTATGGTAGAAGAAAAAAGAAGAACATCCGCAAGCGGAAAAGCAATCTGTTAGGACCGGCTCTCGCTAGTTCTTCGCTTGTGGGTTTTCTTCTTTTTTTCTACCCTGAACATAAAGGTGATACGTTCCCTCGAAACGTCGGTTGACACACTATCCACACGGCGCCACATCCCAGAAAACTGCTTTCTAATTTTCATTTAGATTCTAAAAATAAATAACCACAAATTCTTAAAAGATTTACTTGTACCAAATTGCATTCATTAACTGACTGACAAACTCCGAAGCATCTGGAACATTTTTGTGTCGTTATCTTTTGAATAGAATTCTGAAAGGTTTCCCGCTTATTGAAACTGTGACCGGAAGCAGTTACTGAAGTGTACATTGCTCGTTCTTATTATAACGGCGTAATGAAGATGAAATAAGAAAAGCGTTTCGCGGCGAGTTTTTGGGATTAGCGAAATTGAGCCATTGTGGATTACTATATCAAGAATTTTCAGTCGTTAATAAGTGTGACCCTGATTTGCGGCACTGCGCATGAACATACAGAAAGTAAATTAGGAAGGAACAGCAGTTTGTGTCTGTTCTGTTTTGTAATTGTTTGCAACATACGTGAAGTGCAATTACTGTTTATTGTGGAAAGTGGAAATGCTTAAGGAGGTCTAAAAAGAGTTTTGTTCTCTTGAAACAGGCAATTCAAAGATGTACACACCGATCGGAAACCTTTCCCCAGAACTGTAGTCTGAAATATGAGGCTTAGTGGACATCTTCTTTTTACATATTAAGACGGGAAGTCGGGCCGCACTATAGCTCAAGCGGTTAGTCGCTGGTTTCCCACCGCGGCGGCCCGGGTTCGATCCCGGGTCTGGTCAAGTGGGATTTGTGGTGGACAAAGTGGCGCTGGGGCAGGTTTACTCCGAGTACTTCTGGTTCCCCTGCCAATCTTCATTCCACCAATTGCTTCACAATCACCCTCATCTATCATCTAGGGCTGGTACAATAGGCCAGAAGTGGCCGCAGTACAAGGGACTTAGTCCCACCCCATTAGCAATACAAAAATATTGGGAAATTATATGAATGTTTGAATTCATAACATAAATCCCATCTGTATATTAATCCCGTTGTTTCAAGCGTTTTAAAAAATAAAGCAATGTTATTTCTGAATTGTTTACTGATGCTCCCAGTGTCTCAGATTATATAACGTTGAACTGTAGTATGGATGTCAATGCGGATTAGGAAAAGTGGGAAAGGAAGAGGTCCCACCATTTTCCTTATGGGAATTAGGATAACCACCAAATCCCTCAATCACTCTAATCGACGTCCCGCCTGATATTTGAACCGGAATCCTCGCTAATAAAGGTAGGAAGCTTCACCGTCTGAGCAATTTTCTAAGTCCAGTGGTCTTTGGCGTACGTTAAATGTCATTCGTAAATTCTAAAATACTGAAAATTAAACATAAATAAACGAAGTATAATTTTGAGACGAATTTCTTTACCTTCGTTGTGTACAAAATGTTAGGGCTAAGTTAGGCAACTTCTTCAGACTTCGATAACATTAGTATACTTTTAGGGCATAATATTACTTTAATAATGGAATTGGACATGAAACTGAATGAATTCCTGCGGATGTACAGAACAACAAGAACTGTAAGACGGAAAGTATTAAAAAGCACGAAACTAAAAAATTTTGACAAAGCGACAGCAGCGTCTACGTTCAGTTACGTCTCTGAGCGTTGGTTAACGAATCCTTCGGATAAAAAATTCAGTCACTTGAAAAAAAAGTTCTTGAGATGAGGCTGGATTTATCATTCAATATTTTAAGAACATACAAATACCACTGGAATTAAATATAAATATAACCTGAAAGAAGAAATATGGAGAGCTAAATAAGAAATACGATGAACACAGTTTAAAAAATGGCAGGAGATAGAATCTAAAGATAAGACTTAGACGAAAACAGAAAGGTCAAGGAGATGTAGGGAGACTCAAGACAAGATGGAAAGATGAATTTAATTGGGAATAGAACAACCTAGAAGACCTAAGACAAATACAATGGCACAACTATTTCTAGATAGACTCTCTGTAAGCATTCTACAAACACCGACGTGGTGATCACAATTTTCTTCCGGAATATGAAGATCGCCGTTTCCTAAATATACAAGGTTATGTCGCGCGCCAATTGTAACAAACATTTATTAGTCCATAGAGTCGCATCCTATGCTACCGTTATATTTTCGAGTAATGATTATCTTTCTCTGGGATAATAGGCTACACAAACTTATACGATTTCAACAGTAATATTTTCTAATTACCATTTATTTCAACCTAGAATTCTCTAGCATAAGAATAGTTACAAACAAAATTGTAACACAGATTAAAAAGAATATTTAAATAAGAATTTCGTTGGTTCTTAACGGTAAATGGAGGCATATTTTTACTCCGTGGCCTATAGTCCGCAAGCGAACTATACCGATCGAGCGACCGTCGCTTGTCGGCGAAGTTAGTGCTAACTTCTGCGGATAGAGGGTGTCACGTGGTCAGCGCAACGGATCCCCATGGCCATTAATCTCGGTTTTCTAGACCGGAGCCGCTATTTCCTCGAAATAGCTCTCAATTATCCTCACGAGGCTGAGTGGACCCCGTTCCAGACACATTACTTCTCACAAAATTTCGTAGCACCGGGAATCGAACCCGGACCTCTAGATCTGTAGCCAGGAATTCTGACCACTATACCACAAAAGCGGTCAATGGAGACATATGATTAAAAATAGACGTTTTATTTCTTTCCTAAGAAAATGTTTTTTTTCAATCATATTTTAATTATTAATTTTATTTAAAGACGATTTCAAATCTCATTTTATACAATATCTACAGTCATGTCCTAGTATAAGAATTTACACTGCATTCATAGCTCAGTGGAGACAGCAGAAATTGTGATCAGCGAGTAAACTTTTCCTCAGTTAGTTATTGGAGAGGGTGGGTTTCCCCATGCACTTAGACCTGTATTGGTCCATTGTGCTTCCCTCTATGATTTCTACCAGTCTCTATATCCTACCTGTACTAGTGCTTACCATCAGTCCCGCCCAGACAGCGAGACCGGCTCTACTAGCTGAGAGGTATCTATAATGCTTCCCCCATCTACCAGAGGTATTAGAGACTGCTGTTGGGAAACGTCCGTAATTTGGTTCAGTAACCTCCTTTGGAGATATGAGGTTCTTTTACGTGCCGTAAAGCTACGACACGGGACCCACGGCTTAAAATCCCTCCCGGAGGACTTGTTCCCTGAATTTTTCCGCCTTTAAAAATTCGACGACCTCCGCCGGGTATTTGAACCCGCGTACTACTAGTCATGAGGTGGGAACGTTACCTCTAGACTACGGAGGCCGCTAACTTTTCCTCTGTTACTAAACCATAATTTAAAACACAGAAGCACATAATGAATGAGATTAACACTCACCGGTCGATGGAGATGGCCATGAGCGTGAACACCGAAGCGCAGATGGATTGTACGGCGATAAATTGGCTGATCTTGCAGTACAACGTTCCGAAAGGCCAGTGACTGTTCAGCATGTATATATAGTTAAAAGTCACGTTCAGGGCTGATACCATGGCGTCCGCGACAGACAAATTCACAAGAAAATAGTTTGTCACTGTTCGCATTCTCTTATTGGCCAGAACAATCCAGATGACAATGAGGTTGCCACCTGTGGCCACCACCACAATGCTAGCGAAGAGCAGTGACCACACGACTTGTCGCCACAGCGGCAAGATGAACTGGTTGTGATCTTCTTGGGAGTTGTTAAAGTACAAAGAGTCGTTACCAGGAGTAGAAGTTTCGTTTGGCCACAAAGTGGTTGTTAAGCTCCCTATACTCTCGTTCATTTTATTTTAAGATAATTCTCACTTTCTACAGTTGTCACTACTGTTCATGCGACCTCCTTTGCTACTGTCACTCGTGAGACTCATGTCAGAAAGATAGCATTTGCCAAAATTCCATTGCTAATTTCGTGTAAATATTAGCCTCAAAATGAAAGTTGTCTCAATTAATCCAGTAATGTCGTCAGTTTGTATTAAATCTTTGAAAATGCTTCCCAATGTCTCTTAGAGAAACAAATGAACAATTGTCTACATAATTAATTTATATAGATATAATTCATATTAGGAACAATCGAAATTAAATTTTTTGAAATTATTTCTTTTGTAAAATGATCATAGATTACTCGTTTTATCCAAATACTCTCTTTGGATCTAGAGCACCGATTTCGATACCTCATCTAAAAATCTATTCAGCTATCAATGAATGAAAGTTTAAGAATTTTCAGTTTTTTTCGATAATGGAGACACAAATCAATGGAACGACAAACCTCGTTAATGAGATAAGTCTGATACTTTTCACAAATCATTCATAAAATACAGGCTCGAACTTGAAAGAAAAATATACTTTAAAGTTTGTCTATTATAAAACACCGTATGCTCTAATCTTATAGGCAACTGTTTAACACAAAAATGTTTATCAAGACGCTTCCCACAATAACCAGTTTTTCACAAACCAAAAATCCAGTGATGAATTAAACACAAATAACTAACCATCACTAATTTGTCACAATCTAGTGCTGTTATTCGGTTCAGTGTCAGAACAATAGTGTCTGACGAACATCCATTAAGCTTCTGTCGTGCAGACAAAGACGCTGCAGAGTTCGCCATAATTGTTACGCATGTAGAGGACAAACACTTGTGTTCCTTTAATATCAAACACTCTCAAAGTTCTGCTAACACGTGGATAAGATAAGGCCAGTTCAAGGCCTCTTAAGGATATCTTTGAACACAGAAGCTATCTAATCTCGACCTGTTTTCAAATTCAGGCTACTATACTTGATACCATGCCAAGAGTCTCCAATATCACAGGTAACAACAAAGTTGTTGTTCTTGTTGTTCTGAGACTTGCTTCTTTCTTCCTTCTCCACAGAGTTGCCTCATTGATTCGACCTCATTCTCGTCACAAAGATGAATATCTGAAACAATAAAGAAGTTTGCATTAATAATAATTAACAGAACATTCTTCACTTCCCTTCGTCTAAGTGTACACAAACCAGCGCCTTTTCTCGGAAATGAAGTTTGCCGGTACTCCCACCCTGTTTTAGCCCCAATATCGAACCATCCACTGCAATGGGAAAAGTGTTACTTTTGAATGTTCACAGTTTTGTCGGTAAACATCAATTGCTATCCGGTATACCTACCGACGTGTGTCGCCGGTAAAATTTTCCTATAGAATCAATTTCCTTACTTTCTAACAACCGAATATTTTATCAGAGACGAAGCTCCAAACTTAAAGTAGACTGTAGTAATGCGCTGCCTGATCAGGGCTATGCTGCTCTGCCGATGGCGTTTATTTAATATATAACCTTAATAGTAACTTACTCAAAATCATGAAAATGATATTATTACTATTATTCACAGAATCACAGTTCCATTTCTCCACCATAGAGAGACTACTGATGCTACATTTTTCTTCTGTCTGATTTGAACTCGTTGTTTGGAACCCTGTTACGATTTCTGACTCAGATACCCTTGAGAGCAAGCAAAGAAAATTTGAGACTCTTTACCACAGCAGATTTTTCAAGGTTTCCGGTATCACTCTGATAATTTACAGGAAAGTTACCTCTGCAGATACTGAATATCAGGCGTCGACACTGATGTCTAATTTGTAATAATCGTTTTAATATGCGTAGTCGGTATCGCGACTGGTTACAGGCTGGACGAATGAGGGGTCAGAGTTCGAGTCCTAGTAGGGTCAAAAATTTTCTCCTTTTCACGTCGTCCAGACCAGGTTAGGAACTCAGCCAGCCTCCTATCCAAAGTGTATCGGGGGCTCTTTCCCCTTGGATAAAGCGGCCGATGAGTGAAGCTGCCGAGGTCAAGAAAATATGTATATATATATTCATTCCCCCTTACGCCTTCATGGCGTAGTGCTTAATTAATTCAGCACAGGGACAACCTAACCTTACCCTTCACTTCTCTCCTCTTGTTCCTGCTCGGGACTTGGATATCTTTAACATGTTCAGTTGTTCTTGCAGCCATGGCTCTTCAACTAGATTGTTTCCATCGACAATGCAGTTTACAAATCTACAGACATTTTGAAAAGTTCAAGTTCAAATGCAAACAAACTTATCTAATTAAATCTTCTATGCTTTTGTTTGATTGTTTTGTCCTTGTGTTTGTCTTACTGTGATTGTTGTTTGTAATTATACTGACTCTGTAATTGGTCACTGACTGTTGAGCTCAACATGTAAATAAATAAAGAGGTAAAGCTGCCCCTGGACTTGATTAGTTAGGGACTATACCATGAAGACATATGTGGGAGCGAAGGTGAATTTCATTCAGTTTAAATATTATTCTCCTATAACTACCAGAGTGCGAATCCTTGTACTCGTGCAGGATCTGAGAGAGGCAGTAGTTTCAGTGTTCCGAAGGATTCTAGAAGCTTCCTTCTGAAAAAATAGGAATATCCCTGGATATACACGTATACTTATATGTCGTCGAGCCAACTAACTCTATTGAATAGAGCTTCATCTGATAAGCTAGCAATTCCTCAGATAATAATGAAATTCTTCGTCTCTTAGTGTACTCAAATATCCACTTTGTTGCTGCAGGCAGATTCCTACTCTGATTCGCAGACAAATGGATGATATTACGTACAGAGATATTTGTATTTTTAATGATACCTGAGATCGAACCTGGGACGTACTGAACCTAGTACACTAGCAACCTACTTGTGTTACTTATGTAGTTATTTCCTACCTCGTACAAAAGGAAGCGACATGGAAACCACGTCTAAACTCGGATGGCAGAGGGACCTGTGCTATAATTATTCTTTGTAGATAGATCTCGGCCGGTCACGGTAGCCGAGCGGTCTAAGGCATGTACTGTCTTCGCTCGCTTGGAAACCGGGATCGTGGGTTCGAATCCCACTTAGTGTATTGATATTTAGCTTGTGTGCGTGTGTTTTTCTGTGTTTGTGTACAGGTAGAGGCCTTGCGACGAGCTGATCACCCGCCCAAGGAGTCCTACCGAATGTGTAAGATCTAGAAAAACCGAAGTGAACGGAGAAGTTCATGGAGGTGGGCCTAGGCCCACTGGGGCTGTAGTGCCAAGGGAAAAAAGTAGTTTTCCTCTTATGAAAATTACTGATTACGAAGGATCATTAGTAAATTAAATAAAAATAATTCAACAGTGCACAGTACAAAGAATATTTGCTTATGTTATTGTCTTGTTTTCCTAACTCTTTTTTCCATTTTTATCTTTTTCGTTCTTCAGTCCCTCGCCCATTTATCTTATACTTACGTTGTTGCCTCTCGTTCTTTGTTTTACATGCATGATCCCACCTAAACTTTTCCTTGTTTTATGTACACAGAACATTCCAATCAGAACTGTGATAGGCAGTGTAACCTTGCCTTGAATTTGGCGCCAGATATCCCACAAGAGAAATACTCTGAATACAGCAGCAGGATCCTGCACTACTGAGGTTTGCCATTAAGCCCCCCCCCTTCCACTTTGAGAGTAATTTAGCTTAATGTATATATGACAGCTAATTTGAATTCCTTTATATTTAATATCACGAGTGTGGAGGAATATGGACATGCGCACATTAGCACAGCCGTTATTAGCAGACCTGCATTTCGTAAAATAACTTCTACGTAAAACATCTGAAATATATATTTATGTAGAAATGTGGGGTCCAGCTTCTGGGACGGGCTGATCAAATTGAAGAAATGGGTATCAATATTTAATGAATCTATATGATTAAGGATAAAAGTTCCTTTTTATCACTAACAGCTAAGACGGAATCTTTGACAGTAACCGCAAATTTCCCTATGTTTATAGATACGTGTTCAAAACTGTAAAATGTGGTGCATAAAGTATATGACTTAGTCTGTGAGATATTACAAATATAACTGTCTGAGTAAGCTAGTCATTAAGCGGCCTCCGTAGTCTAGAGGTAACGTTCCCACCTCATGACTCGTAGTACGCGGGTTCAAATACCCGACGGAGGTCGTCGAATTTTTAAGGGCGGAAAAATTCAGGGAACAAGTCCGCCGGTAGGGACTTTAAGCCGTGGGTCCCGTGTCGTAGCTTTACGGCACGTAAAAGAACCTCATATATCCTAAGGAGATCACTGAGCCAAATTAACGGACGTTTCCCGCCCGACAGCAGTCTCCAATACCTCTGGTAGATGGGGGAAGCATTATAGATACCTCTCAGCTAGTAGAGCCGGTCTCGCTGGCTGGGCGGGACTGATGGTAAGCACCAGTACCTGTAGGACATAGAGACTGGTAGAATATCATAGAGGGAAGCAGAATGGACCAATACAGGTCTAAGTGCATGGGGAAACCCACCCTCTCCAATAACTAACGAACTAAACTGGTCATTAGAAAATGAGGACTTAGTAAGAAAGATTGGAGAAAACTTGTATCACCACATGGAGCTTAACCTTCAATACAATCAATGTTCTTCTTGTAGAAAATGTCATTCATTACAAATACATTTCAACAATGTGTAATTCAGTTATGCTGAAATCCAACACGAAACCTTCTCTTAATAATCCACGATTTTGTTAGCGTAAATATTACGGTCAAATGACAAGATGATAATTAAACGGTTCTCAATTAAAATAATAAAAATAATCGCGCACTGCCACCAGACATGGCGAAGGTGCAAGTTTTTATGATATTTATCATGAAAAGTTGATTTCTATAACAACAACACAATTAGGCAAGGGCCTATATCTAGGGCATACTATGGAACACACTTTACTGGTTATTTATAAAACAACACATTGAATAAAAGAAGGGACAAACTTTTATGCCGCAAAACGGCCAGTAAATAAGATTGTATATAAGGTTCTCTATGTATAAAAACCTATCAGGTTCGTGTAGCGGCAACGTTCAAGGTTCGTATTTTGGAGGTGCTGGGTTCGAATCTCGATTGCAAATTCGTCTATCGTGACTGAGGATTACATTGTTCTCCTCGTTCTCTCCAGGAACATGCCGGCACGGTATTTCGATTCAGCCAGGGCTGGTATCGTCCAAATTCATCCCAATTCAACATTCACTCACATCACAATTAGACGTCAGTTATTCTGAGGGGTTGAAAATACTGTAAAAATAAACCACAAAAATTGTTTGTACATAACAGACTAATAAAAATATTAATTCAAAATTTTGAAACGAAATTAAGTGATAAAACAATTGGATCTGTCATTGTTAATCTCAATCTGCACCCGGCTGTGGAAGTCAACTCAGAATACTGAAAAAAGAAAAAAAAACGAGTGAGAGTCATATCCGACACATATGAAATTCCTTAGATAATTGTTTTGAGTGACCTTGAAAGAGAGAGAGAGAAAGTCATAGGTAGAACAAATGTGAAAAATACGAAATATCATTTGATTTCGTGACGAGCCAGAAGACTGCAAAATTAAAAAAATAATTTATTTGGTGCAAAAACAGAAAATTAAAAACGTCGCTTCTAGACCAATGTACATACAGTGAACCCAACCCTGTACTTTGGTCAACCGTGACCTTTTGATGCATTTTTACAGAACCAACAAAATTATATCAATTTGAACATGCTCGGCCCTCTTTAACCTTCCAACCTTTATGCCCGCTCTCTTGTCCACTTTATTGCAATTCATATTATGCTTTTGTACATATTTTAAATGTCCAATGTCGACCACACACAGAAATGACCGATTTCTTGTACCAGCCTGTTGAAACGAAAACATCTCACCTCACATCCTGAGTAATCTTTCCTTGTCAGCAGCAGACTATGGAATTCACAGAGTCAAGCATAGAATACGCTTCTGCTAATGGCTTGGTAGCAACGCTTGAAATTTACAAGAAGTGTACATGTCATCTGCTAATGTTTATTTATCACTGGTGTGTTTGAGCCTTGTGGATGTGGGCAGTGCTGTCAATATTTCTGAGATACAAGCTGCCTCTATCTTCAGGGTAGAAGT